TGGGAGAACTTGCACAATTGGTGGCTGACTAAATACTTTTTTCCCCCACTGTATATATATATATATATATATATATATTTTATATAACCAATAATTGTGAAATTTGCACTACATATGCCTATATTTTATTGTCAGTCAGCTTTATAATAATCAAACATTGGTTTCTGCAAACATTATGTATATATATATATATAATTATCACACATATATATGTGTGTGTGTGTTTGTTAATTTAAAAAATGTTAACAAGTTTTATAAAATAAAAAAAACATTAACTAATTGTTTCAGTTGTTTATATACATTAAATATAAAATAATAATATAGATATAAAATGTCAACATATATTGTGTTAAGCATTAGTGTAACATTTGACACTTGTATTCAATATATATATATATATGGATATTTTTATGAACAAATTATTAACCCCATAATTGTGTAATTTCAAATACATATGCTGTTTACATTTTAAATGTGTATGACAAACATACGTAACAAATGAAAACCAATAATTGTTTTATGTAAATCTAGACAAATTGATTGCTAAAAATTACTGCCAAAAGTTTTAGTGTTGTATTATTCCAAGATTTTAATCATTGCATGTTTACAGAAACTGCTTGAAAAAGGCAAACTGTAATTCAGGGTCTTTTGTGTACATTAATATTTTAAAAGCTTTACTGCTGTCTGTGTTTCTGTATGTATTTCATGTTGAGTTGGCGATGCAGAGAAATGAACTCTGATCAGTGTCTGTGTGCTGAATATATCATTCCTCATCTGAGGGTGTTTTGCATCTGAACGCCATCTATTGGACAGACAGAATCATAACTCCTAACCAGTAATGCCAGTATTAAATCATGCTGCACCAATAATCCTGTGTGAGAAATAAATCATCTGCCAAAGAAAGAGTCCGAAAGCCATTTCTTTCATGTTGAGATGTTTGAGCCACTGGCAGGTGCTGCTTCAGAGCCGCTCCTCTGATACGCACAGAGCTGCAGGACGCCTGAAACACAAACATTTACTACGACACATGAAGAAAAAAAACAGTCTTTTTTTTTTTTACAATTATGAACTATTATGATTTTTTATTACATTTTTTTGAAAAAAGAAAGAAAAATATTGTAAATTTTTTTTTTTAATTTTGCACAATTTTAGAATTTTTTTTTTTTTACAAAAAATCCCCCTTTGTTCAAAATAATACTTTGTATTATGAATAGTTATTTATTTTTGAATTAATTCAATTATTTATTTTCTTTGCACATTAAAAAAGCCTTTAAATAAAATGTTCAAAACTTGTTTTTGTGAACAAAAATGTTCTTAATTTTTTACAGTTTTCTTTTTTATAGTTTTCTTTGGGAAAAATTTTTTTTTTAGGAAAAATAAAAATTCTTAGATCTTCAAAACGGCACTTTCTTGTTTTCGTTGAGTTTTATAGAAAAAAAACTGTTATTTGTTTTATATTATGCATATTTATTTAACCCTTTAACTGTCACCCGTCCCCTCTGTGGAGTTTACTTCACTATATTATAATTAAATCCTAATCTAATCATGACAAACTATATATTGTTGGAAAGGTCTAAGACTCCTAAATAGATATTTTACCAATGTTTTTGTTAAAAATTATGTAGGAAAAGTAATAGATTAATTTATGACAAGAGTGCACCTCAAAAATCTACATAACAGGAGTTCTGACCTTTGTCAAAGAAAGTCTTCTTCGTTGCCTTTTTCTCTATCACACTTTAGAAATCATCAGACATTATATATCAATTGAAAACTTTAAATCTCAAAATTAATTCTTTGAAACCCATTTTAAAATCAAACATTGCATTACCATCAATATCATGTTACAAAATGTTTTCCTTCATGAATTATACAAATTTAAGTTTGGATCGTGCACTTTCACATCTATGTTCAAAAATGTGAGTGACAGTTAAAGGGTTAATTATTTGTATATGTATGTATTTATTTATTGTATAAAGAAAAAAGCAGGAATCAACTTTTTGGAATATTACCATGCAAGTATGATGAATGCAAAAAAACAAGCAAGTTTTACTTAGACCTTTGTTTTTGTATTATGCATATTTATTAAATGTTTTGCAAGTTGTGCAAAAAACAAACGAATGGAATATATATATATACATAGAATTTTTTTTTCTGCATATTTTGAAAATAGCATGCTATAAAATGAAATGTACCTGCTGCAAAAGCCAATATGATGCCGAGCCAAGCCAAGATATACGACCATGAGAATCTCCAGTCGATGTAGCGTTTGCCGAAGAAGTTGACGGTCATGCCGGTGTAGATCGCCAAAGCCAAGAGCGCAAGAAACCCTGCAGAAACACAGACCGCTTCAGAGCAGAAACCACTGCAACACACACTGACCCTCGTGCTGCTGAGCTGATCATCACTGCACATACATCAGTGTTTATGAAGCAGAAATCTGCTCAAAATGTAGTAAATGTCTTTAACAACTGAAAGAATGTCATTTCTAATAACTGTATGTCAGATGTTTTTAACTTCATTTAAATTTTAACTTAAAATGTCAAACGTTTTTTATTTAAACATTTACATTTTATTTTTTTTATAACTAAAAACGTCAGAATTTATAACTAATTAAATTTTTAATAACTAAAAATTTTATTTTTTACTTATTTTAAATACTTAAAATGTAAGCCTATAAAAATAATGTTTTAACATAATATAATAATTACATTTAATTATTATTAGCTCTCAAATGACAAATAATGTAAGGAGTTATAACATCATTCTTCATTATGATGGATACACCAACTATACATAGATTTTTGAATTGAAAAGCAAACAAAAAAATAATTTGAAAAAAAACTGAAAACAATTTTCCATAAGTTGTATGATTATAAGTCTTTCACAATGAAAAAATAAAATGAGAAATAACTATTTTAAAATTATTTTAATATTAATAGAGTATAAAAAAACATTATTTGTCATATTTTCCTTGAACATGAAATTAAGTGTTATGTTTTTGATGATTAGGAATATTGCATTTACATTTAGTCATTTAGCAGATGCTTTTATCCAAAGCGACTTACAAATGAGGACAAAGCAATCAAAACTAACAAAAGAGCAATGATATACAAGTAGAGCAAGCTAGTGTTAGAGGTCTTGTTGCTTTTGTTAACTGTATAATAAATAAAAATAAAACAAATAGATAGAATGCAAAAAGATTAGAGAAAACAAGCAGTTAGTAAACAAATGGAGTGCAAGTCTAAAAGGGGCAAGTTTTTTTTTGTAAAGAATAGAAATAGAATAGAAAGTGCTAGAGTTAGAGGGTCAAGTAAAAGTGGAACAGATGTGTTTTTAGTTGTTTCTTGAAGATGGTTAAGGACTCAGCTGCTGGGATTGAGTTGGGCAGGTCATTCCACCAGGAGGGAACAGTTTCAGAACGCTTTAGTACTGCAAAGCAACTACCTGGCAACCGCGCAACAAGTTTTGCGCATGCAAACACCGCTCATATATTCGGTTAAAGTGCATTTGAAAATATTACACTGAAACGTGATTCAGCTTTAATTTTTTTCTCAAGATAAAAACGTTAAAACATGCAAAATGTACAAATTTAGGTCAAATATCATAGTTGTTACTATTACAAATAGGAAATTAATTTTAAATGGATATATTAGTAAATAAAAAACAACAACAATAATACTAAATTATGCGATAAATTAAATGTATGTGTAATTTTATAACAAATACATAAATAGTAATAATAATAATACATTATATGATACATTAAATGTATATGTTATAATGTACAACATATAAACAATAACAATGAATTAAAGGACAAATTAAAAGTATTTGTGTACTTTTATAATAAAATACAGCCTACAACATGTAAATACTACTAAATTATAGGATGGATTAAATCCAATTGTTTAATTTCTCTAATAAATATATAAACATATGTATATTTTCAAAATATGTAACCAAAATAAACTTTGCAAGAAACTTTCAAGAGGTGTCATTAATGGTTTTAGACATCTTTAAACTATTTATTTTATTAATAAAAATGTGTAGTTATAATGATACATTTTTGTCATGTAAATCATTGTAATATGATGTTTAAAAGTATTTTAATTTGATCGTTATATTCCACAATAGCAAATAGAAATCCACCTATTATTTTGCTTCTAATAAACACTTTATTAATGCCATATTAAATGTCCAAAGATGAAAGACCTCAATATTACTGAAGGCACTTTTGGAGAGATATATATATATGATGCTACATGAGGGGAAAAAAGTAAAACTATGTTGATACTGAGGTAAAACTCAATACTTTTTCGTAAGCCCTGTTGGAAAAACCAGCATATGCTGGTTAGGTATGTTTGGACGCTGGGATGCTGGTTTAAGCTGGTACTTTGCTGATTTTTGCTGGTCCTTTGCTGGTTTAAGCTGGTCCTTTGCTGGTTTAAGCTGGTCCTTTGCTGGTTTTAGCTGGTCCTTTGCTGGTTTTAGCTGGTCCTTTGCTGGTTTAAACTGGTCCTTTGCTGGTTTAAGATGGCCCTTTGCTGGTTTAAGCTGATCCTTTGCTGGTTTTAGCTGGTCCTTTGCTGGTTTAAGCTGGTCCTTTGCTGGTCCTTTGCTGGTCCTTTGCTGGTCCTTTGCTGGTTTTTTTCTCAAGATAAAAACGTTAAAACATGCAAAATGTACAAATTTAGGTCAAATATCATAGTTGTTACTATTACAAATAGGAAATTAATTTTAAATGGATATATTAGTAAATAAAAAACAACAACAATAATAATACTAAATTATGCGATAAATTAAATGTATGTGTAATTTTATAACAAATACATAAATAGTAATAATAATAATACATTATATGATACATTAAATGTATATGTTATAATGTACAACATATAAACAATAACAATGAATTAAAGGACAAATTAAAAGTATTTGTGTACTTTTATAATAAAATACAGCCTACAACATGTAAATACTACTAAATTATAGGATGGATTAAATCCAATTGTTTAATTTCTCTAATAAATATATAAACATATGTATATTTTCAAAATATGTAACCAAAATAAACTTTGCAAGAAACTTTCAAGAGGTGTCATTAATGGTTTTAGACATCTTTAAACTATTTATTTTATTAATAAAAATGTGTAGTTATAATGATACATTTTTGTCATGTAAATCATTGTAATATGATGTTTAAAAGTATTTTAATTTGATCGTTATATTCCACAATAGCAAATAGAAATCCACCTATTATTTTGCTTCTAATAAACACTTTATTAATGCCATATTAAATGTCCAAAGATGAAAGACCTCAATATTACTGAAGGCACTTTTGGAGAGATATATATATATGATGCTACATGAGGGGAAAAAAGTAAAACTATGTTGATACTGAGGTAAAACTCAATACTTTTTCGTAAGCCCTGTTGGAAAAACCAGCATATGCTGGTTAGGTATGTTTGGACGCTGGGATGCTGGTTTAAGCTGGTACTTTGCTGATTTATGCTGGTCCTTTGCTGGTCCTTTGCTGGTTTAAGCTGGTCCTTTGCTGGTTTTAGCTGGTCCTTTGCTGGTTTAAGCTGGTCCTTTGCTGGTCCTTTGCTGGTCCTTTGCTGGTCCTTTGCTGGTTTAAGCTGGTCCTTTGCTGGTTTAAGCTGGTCCTTTGCTGGTTTAAGCTGGTCCTTTGCTGGTTTAAGCTGGTCCTTTGCTGGTTTAAGCTGGTCCTTTGCTGGTTTTAGCTGATCCTTTGCTGGTTTTAGCTGGTTCTTTTGCTGGTTTGTGCTGGTCATTTTGCTAAAACCAGCATCAAAACATACCTAACAGCTGTTTTTTTCAACAGGGAGTTCACTACTAACTTTTTACAAACAAACCGTTTGTCCTCCAGCGGTTCCCTTCAGCCTCCATCGACCTGTTTATGAACAAAAGCCGTTCTGTACGATCAGCATTTGGCTCGAATCGAGCCGATTAATCAAACTTCATCCGTTCCTCATAAGAGCTTTCTGAATGCGAAGCACAAACTGGATCAGCACATTTCAAACTCTAGCTGAACGCTGCCAAACACACACACACACACACACACACAAATTACCCATTCACAGACAAATAACAGAGCCATTCACGATGAAACTCACAACACGTGCCATCGCAAATGGACGCGGAGAACAAACCGCGCTTTTGTTCCCGCCAATGCAAGGATTCAAAAACAAGTGCAACGGTCAAAACATTCCAAGACTTCCCTCACAAAACACAAAACACTTTCCTTACAAAACACCTAATAAAGTATATAAAAGTGTGTCAAAGGGTTCAAATCAAGTTAATAACATAATATCTGTCTTCATATATACCTTCTCTGTCGGTTGCTGCCCGTCTCCCGTGAAGATTGCGCTGTGTGCGCGATTCAAGCGTTTTTAAACCCACTCGGCTGTCATTGTTCGGGCCACAATAGAGCGAATCATCCAGTCAGACATGTGAGATGTGAGGTAATCCGCATCTTTCACAGCATCTCGTCCTGTTGTTGTTCCCACTCTCCTCACAATCTTGCCAGTCTTCTGCGTCACTGGCTCCCGCGGCGCATCAACGCCCTCGGCCTTCCTCCTTTGGCTGGAGGTCAAACCGATCCAGAACTATCGGACTTGGGGGTTTAAAGGATGAAGAAACGTCTACATAACATCTACACATACAGGTGCATCTCAATAAATTAGAATGTCGTGGAAAAGTTCATTTATTTCAGTAATTCAACTCAAATTGTGAAACTTTTGTGAAACACACAAACAGACTGAAGTAGTTTAAGCCTTTGGTTCTTTTAATTGGGATGATTTTGGCTCACATTTAACAAAAACCCACCAATTCACTATCTCAACAAATTAGAATACGTCATAAGACCAATAAAAAAAATTTTTTAGTGAATTGTTGGCCTTCTGGAAAGTATGTTCATTTACTGTACATGTACTCAATACTTGGTAGGGGCTCCTTTTGCTTTAATTACTGCCTCAATTCGGCGTGGCATGGAGGTGATCAGTTTGTAGTGGAATGTTTGTGGCTTACCCTCCTTGTGAAGGGTGTCAATGATTGTCTTCTGGACAACTGTCAGATCAGCAGTCTTCCCCATGATTGTGTAGCCTAGTGAACCAAACTGAGAGACCATTTTGAAGGCTCAGGAAACCTTTGCAGGTGTTTTGAGTTGATTAGCATGTCACCATATTCTAATTTGTTGAGATAGTGAATCGGTGGGTTTTTGTTAAATGTAAGCCAAAATCACCACAATTAAAAGAACCAAAGACTTAAACTACTTCAGTCTGTGTGCATTGAATTTATTTAATACACGAGTTTCACAATTTGAGTTGAATTACTGAAATAAATTAACTTTTCCACGACATTCTAATTTATTGAGATGCACCTGTAGGCCTAGTTAAACACTCAAAAGATCATGTAATGCATGAACAAAATAGTCTATACTATATGTATATATATATATATATATCTAAACCTTACTGTTACATTTTTGTAAACAAAGTTTCTTGGCAGAGAACATAAGAATGTCTGTTCTGGGAACCAGAAACTAACGTTAGCTGAACGTTCTGGGAACCAAAATTTGCTAGCTGGTCAAATCGATCCAGAACACTTGGACTGGAGGTTTACAGGGTTTGAAGGATGAAGAAACATTTCGCTAGCACATATCTACATATAGTTACACTCAAAAGATCATTCAATACGTGAGCGTTGTGTTTACACAGTATTATTAGGGTTGCGCATCATATTAAAATGTCCAATAATCGGGTATTCGATAAGACATGAGCATTTCGATTCCACTTAACGATTCACGCGGTCACATTTGAATGTGATTTTAAACTATTTAAGTGCAGGAAGGGAAAGAACTTGCACACTGTTTGCGTGCAGCGCACACATCTGAAGCGCGAGCACAGAGAACAGTGGCCCCTATGCAGGTTCCCGACCCGTGTCCATTCTCGAACTGTTCCGTGCATTTCCACAAAAGTTGTTTCGGGCCAGAACTGACTTCTCTTTCACATTTATCGACCAGTATGCATGAAATACATCAGTATATCATCATAAACACAGCCGTTTTTTTGTCTTAAGTGAACGTAAACGCATGTGTAACAGTACTTTTAGATCTGTGTGTGTTCGGTGTTAAAGAGACAGCCGTCTAATAAACGTGCTGCCTATCATTAATGTTGATCAAAGAACAAAATCATTAACTGACTGAATATCTTTCTTAAATTTAATGAGGATTATTCAATATTTTATTTATGAAAAGAAAACTATACAGTGTTTTTAAACTTTTGATTTCAATTTCTGTACCTGACTTTTGTTCAGTTTTATTTATGCTATTGCTAATTAATTTGTTGACTTGTTTTTAACAATTTAATGTTTGCAATTTATATTAGTCTAGTTGTTTTTTTCTGTGGTATTTTTTTGATAAAACCATAGACATAAAACAGAATAAATATTTGACATCTAAATGTTTGACTTAAAATTTGTTTAATGGATTTTTTTTATCTTATTGGAATCGGAATTAGGAATCGATAAAGTTCAAACGATACCCAACCCTATACAGTATGCATCTAAATTAATGAATTTTTGCAGATTGAGAATCACGATTCATTGCTAAATCCATTTGTCAAACAAACACAACAAATACAAATGTGGGGGGG